CAACCAGTGCAAGTACCTGAATGTGACTTGCTATCAGCTTCATTTTATACTCTGCACAGCAGCACTCAGATTGTGAGAAGATGAGTTGGAACAAAGAGCCAATAAAATGGGCCACAAGCAAATATGCAGAAAATGAAGAAGCATGATGTGCAGGTGTTAATGGATCCTAGTATAGCTCCATTTTAAACGTTTTTAAAAATGCCTTGAAATATAGGTCAGTTAACTGGTGTTTGCCCATTTAATTTGTGGCATTACTTAACAATTTTTTGTGAAACAACCAATATATAAAGTAGCTTCCACGAAACAAAACATACTAAAATGTTATGTAATTATTACACAGAACACTAAGATTAATAAAAATTTTGTATATTAACCGAAAAAAAAAAAATCAGATCTCCCTTGAACGAAACGAAATGTACTGTCTATTGTATGTACAATTGTTTTCTACTTGTAAAAGGGATCAGTTTAGTTAACCACATGCACACAAAAAAAAAACACACAGTTTTGGGTAAATGAGCTATCAGTACACTAAACAATGGTCATGCTTTTCCGCATATCTGTGGGTCTCATGAACCACTGAAAACAATATGGTACATGGGTGGTTAATATCTTAACAGTTGTTTACCAAGAAGTTGGAGTGATTCCAGAGCTCCTTTCAGTAATACATTTCCAAATCTCCATACTTGATACGATAGCAAGAATATCGATGAGAATACTTTAAAATGTAAAAGTCTTAGAAAAATGTCTTTAAAAAAAGCACTGCAATAGCCTAAATACTTGATCAGGAAAATACACTATTTTTAAATGTACAACATTGTTTTGTTGCATTCTTGCTTCTTTGAGGATTTCTACTCGTTAATGACTAAGCAACAGCAGTTTCCATGCTTTCAGCATGACTTCCCATAACAGCCCGTTTGTCCTCAAATGATTTCTTTTTAATGGCAAAAGACAATTCCTCCTGCTGCTCTGACTGAGCCACTAGAGGTTGGTGCCCAGCAGCTGGTGGGGAAACTTTCCTTGTATCACCAAGGCCAGCAACAAAAGACTTACATTAAAAATAATAAATGTATGGATAACAGAGAATTACAGGAACATGAATGTCCTCTTGGGGAGCCTGTTGACATACACGGTGGGAGAGAGCCAGAGTAGAACTTGCAGACTGGATTTGTCACCTGCATTTTGGTTGAAACCACTTTATTTTGGTTTGAATGAAAAGATGTTTTTTTTTATTCTCTCTATAAGCGTCTGGCTGAGATTTTGCTCCACTTACTTGCTACCTTTTCTACTGTGCTTCTATCCTATTTTTCCTGACCTACATTTTTTTGATTATTAAGAAAGAAACAAAATTAACTTGGGTAGGAAAAAGCCTAATGAAAACCTAATAAAGTATTACATTGTTCCTGTTATACATGTGTATCAGTGAAAACCATGACTTACCATTAAAAACTTCAAAGTTTTTTTTTTTTTTTGCTTTAATTGAAATGGCCTGCCATGTTCAGAACTCTATTTAACTGCCACCAGGAGTTGAAAACAGGTATGTAGGTACTTGAGAGGATCTCCATTATGCAGATTGCGACATCAGAAAAAGTCAAGCTCTAGGCATCCTCCACAAACTACTGGTCAATAAAGTAACTACTTCCTCTAGGTGACTAATAGCAAAGTGTGAGAGGTGAGGGTGTAGATAAGGGCCAGAGTATGACTTTCTCAGAATAGAATACCATGGGTTTTGGAACTTCTGGTGAATTCAAGTAGTTAAACAAAAGTTCAGACATCTATAGGTACCTTCTTTGCTACTGGAACTGTTAAAAACGCATTGGCAGACTGTAGGTGAGTAATGTCCCTTGTGCTTGTTTTGTGTTGGTCAACTTAGGGTTTAAAAATACTACAGAGAGCTCCTGATATTTTCCACTCAATCCTCAGAAATTCATTATTACTCTGCTGCCTCATCATTCCTCGGCTTCTCCTGGCATGAAATGGCAAGGCACACAGACAGGGCCACTGTTAGAAATCATGGGGCCCCATACAGCCAATCTGACAGGGCCTCCCACCCAAAAAAAATCAAAATGATATTTCCGTAAAATATACACAAAAATCATTTTTAGAGGAGACAAACACCACATACTTTGAAAAATTCCTGCTAAATCTAAAAAGATACAACTGTATTGAGGTAATAAATAAAGCTCTGTGTATATGAATAAGATCTTGGAGCTCATTCACATGGGTGCTGTGGCCTGTACAGTGTGAATCTGCAGTTTTTTTTATGTGACTGGAGATGTGTGTAGGCAGCCTATGTTACACTACACAGATGTATGAACACAGCCACAAGTCCTAATTTTGTGGTGTAGGTGTATGACTCCGAAACAGTCGCCTTTTCTTTTTTAACCGCTTCCTGACCGCCCTACAGCAGAACTACTGCTACAGGGCAGCAGGGCTGCGCAAAATCACATATATATACATGTGATTTTGCATTTCCAGTTAGGTGGTGCACGCACTCCGCCCTACCCACACCACCATCTGCAGCTACAGATGTCGATCACCAGATCCCTGGCTGGCCCCGCCAGCCCCTGGCGATCGCCAAGTATCATTGATAGGGGACAGACCATGGGGGATATGTTTTATAAAAAAAAGTCAAAAATATTATTATATATAAATATATATTATTTACATTTTTTTATACTAGTAATGGCGGCGATCAGCGAGTTATAGCGGGACTTCAAGACTGCGGCGGGTATTCTGAAACTGAGTGGGAACTAACGGCCACTGACATCCCCAGTGACACTAATACAATGATCAGTGCTAATAAAAAGCAGACACTGTACTAATGACACTGGGCTGGAAGGGGTTAATATCTGGGGCAATCAAAGGGTTAACTGTGTGCATTTCACATTGTGTGCTGTGTGAGTTTTACTAGGGAGATATGCTGTTTTGTACAAAGCAGAATGTCCATGCACACAGGAGAGACATCTGTGCTGTTTACACACAATTTTTTACATCTCAGCCCTACCGACGATCACTGTGTCTCGGCCAGGGGTCACCGAGTTCTGGCAGGGGATCGCCAAGTCGAGATTGAGATCCCAATCAGCCAATAGCGGTGCGGGTAGGGAGCATGCACGCCCCCTACCCAGAAATGCAAACCACGTGTATATATATATGTGATTTTGCACAGCCCTGCCACTCTGTAGCACTACTTTTGCTATAGGGCAGAGGGCAAGCGGTTAAAGTAGAACTATAGGCAAAAAATTTTTTTTTCCATTTTGGATAGAATAATGGGGTTATAACCCATATCAGGTTTTTTTTTCACCATCTCTGTCCCATTGCGGAGATTTTCCTTCACTTCCTGTCCCATAGCCAAACAGGAAGTGAGAAGAAATCCCAGCACATTAAGGGAATCCCTTGGGGACCCCCAGGTCACCAGAATTAGTACCCCCATTGGAAGATTTCTCTGGGGACAACCCAAAATTTGGGATTTTCTTTTACTTTCACTTTGAATGATAATGGAAAACAGGACAAACAGAGAGTGAATCTCTTTAATGGGAGCACATACAGAGATACAAACTGACAGATGTTCTAATCTATATACACTCTTTCCAAAACTGAAAAAAAAAAGTTTTGCCATTAGTTATACTTTAAAGTCTATGGGAAGCGTTTTTGAATTGAAGATAATGCGAGGTGTTTTTCCATTGAAGTCTATGGGAGGCGATTTTGCATTGAAGTCTATGAGAGGTGATTTTGCATTGAAGTCTATCAAAGGCGATTTTGCATTGAAGTCTATCGAAAGCAATTTTGCATTGAAGTCTATAGGAAGTGATTTTGCATTGAAGTCTAGGGGAGGCAAGATCTTGCTTTGAAGTCAAAGGGATAGGATTTTGCATTGAAGTCAATGACACGTGATTTTGCATTGAAGTCTATCGACAGCGATTTTGCATTGCAATCTACAGGAGGCGATTTAACATTGAAGTCTAGGGGAGGCAAGATCTTACTGTGAAGTCAATGCCACGTGATTTTGCATTGAAGTCAATGGCACATGATTTTGCATTGAAGTCAATGGCAAGTGATTTTGCATTGAAGTCAATGACAAGTGATTTTGCATTGAAGTCAATGGCAAGTGATTTTGCATTGAAGTCAATAGCATGTGATTTTGCATTGAAGTCAATTGCCTGCAGCAGGGCTAAATGTAAGAAAAAAACAACACCTGTCCGGCGCCTGAAACTGCATGTCTCAGGCATCGGGCGATATGATTTGCACATTCCTGATGACTGGAAGAGTGGGGGAAAACTGTGGGATAAAACGTTCTATGTGAACAGATTTGGAATGGATGAACTGGACCCATACACTATGCTATTCCACTGAAAAAATACAATACCTGTATGGGGAGAACAATGTTAGGTACATGGCGAATATATTCCAGGGTGACAATCTGGAATCTATCATTATGCATGTACAGGCATACCTCAGTTTACGAACACCTTGGTTAACGTAATGTTCAGTTTACAAATGAAAATCCATTGAAAATAGTGCCTCGGTTTAGGAATTGTTCTCGCAATGCGAATGGATTAATTTGTTTTCAATGCATTTACAATTTTTTTTTAATCATGTCCCTGAACAGTATTTATGCCTTTAAAGTGCACTTTATAAAGAGTTTTGAACAGATAAAAGACTATTTTTTGTCTGACCTCCAGAATGGATTAATTGGTTTTCAATGCATTCCTATGGGAAACCACGTTTCGGTTTACAAATTTTTGACAATATGAAAAGACCCGCAGAACGCATTAAATTCGTAAACCGAGGTACGCCTGTATGTTTGTTACTGACAGCACCGTATCACTGGATCTATGCTGCCCTTGGTTATGGCCTATGTCAGTTCTGAAGAAATCCAACCCCATTTACAGTAATGCCTGCATACACGTAAAGGAAATTTGAGGTTATATGTACACACTGAAAGCAGATTATAAATGATCATGTTGAACTCTATAGGAAATGCTCTCAAGAGGAATCCTTACCACTGCCTGGAATCCAGATTTTTAAGCTCTCGTAATAACTTTGAGTTTTTCTTCAACAGATGGAAATTTTTTCTGCAGAAAGAAAAGTGGTTAGGCTTTAGCTTTTACATAAAAATGTGTTTTCTATTGCTAAACCAAAGGCAAATATCAGTATAAAGCTGAAATCAACAGAAATACACTTTAATACAATTGAACTACTAATAGAAACACCAAACAAAAGGACACTGGGACTTTTCAGGTTCTTCTCATTGACAGGTAATATATAAAAACGGGTATGGTATTGCACAGAGTGGCCCCAAACCGCCTCTCCTGGGGTCTCCCGCAAGCGCTCTCTGCTCCTCGTCTTCAGTGTCTGCCCCCATAAGTAAACTGGTTGCTATGGGGGGCAATGTACGGGCTCGCTCCAGAGCCAGTCTGTGTGCATCCATAGACACACACTGCACGCAGCATACAGGCTCCCGCAGCTGCCCCATGTGAATACAGGGAGAGAGCCGCTACAGAGAGACACAGCACTGGATCGTGTAAGGACTCAGATACTGTAAGTATTTGAGGGGAGAGAGGGTGATAGTGCTACTGGGACATTTTTTACTTTAATGCAGGGAATGCATTAGGGTAAAAAAAATGTGAGGACTTTAGAACCATTTTAGAATTATGACAAAAGTTAAAAGAAAAAAACATACAATACAGCAATGAGAAATTGTGAATTCACCAGGGGAACACCCTAAAATCAGTATATGTCCTATTTTGACATATATAGATATTGCTGAGTTAGTGGGGATTCTTTGGGGGTGCTCCTCTGTGGAAATTAATTATTATTAAGTACCGTCTACAACAGTATATGCCATTATTTTTTTTATAGAAAAGCCCCCATTTAACCTATTCATGACAGACGTCTTAATGCCTGAACACAGTTTTGCCACTTTGACATGTGTTTGTAAAACTATACATATCATCGCAACTAACTAGTGTATCCAGGTGGATTATACCTTATTTTTTCAGGAAAAATTGGGCTTTCATTTGGTGATAAATGGTAATAGCCATCTCCTGATTTTTTTTAATTATCAAAAGAATACCGACACATAATACAAGAAAAATATCATGTTTTAAAATGTAGCTGTATATTTCATGCTACTAGTATAACTTACTGCCAAATAATAACCCAAAATAAATTCTCCTGCTCCTAATGATAGCAGCGATGCCGCAGCTTTTTTTATCCTACCTTGACATCATTGACACTAATTTACAGAATTTTTTTTTAATCTTACCTAAAATGCGCTGACCTTAACCATGACCCTAACCCTAAAACTGACCTAGATCAAACCCCGATCTTGCTAGGTTTTCTTTATTATTTACATTATTTTTCTTTTTTTACACACACTTTTGTTTACCATTTTCTCTTCTAGAAAAGAGAAAAACATACAATGCATCTTTTTCTCGATTCAAGAGGAAAAACACAGGGGTGAACTGTACAGTGACTGATCTCTTTTTTTCTTTTGAACTTGAGGTGGGTGCGCAAAAACAAAACACCTGTAAATGAATAAAAAGTGCATATAAACACACATAAAAAAGTGCACTTCGGGTTTGTCTCTGGTCCACCTCCTAAAGTAGTAGGACCCCTCTCTGACCCCCTGGGGTGCTCCTGACAAGGGAAAGGCACACTCAGGTCCACTTAGCCAAAAGGCCTGGCAGACCCCTCACCTCAAGGTCAGCTGAAGCTGACCGCTGAGTACTAGGTGAGGGGTTCTCCCATGGAAATACCCCCAAGACAGGGAAGGAAGTGTAAGGTTTCTGTGGTAGGGAGTCCTTGTAGAATTCCCCAGGGCACAGAGTCTAAGCCCCAGCCTGCTTCTACACCCTGATGGCGGGGACAGACTTGCAGCAAGCTGGAACCAGGTCGCAGCCCCCAGGTTCGCCCAGCTGACGATAAGGAGCCCACTCTGGTATGCAGAGCATAGATGGCAGAATGCAGAAGAGGATCTGGGAAATGAGCTGAGGTCAGGACAGGCTGCAGCCAAGCAAATCAGTAGATAAAGCCAGAGTCTCTACATTGGAAGTCAACCACTGAAATCATATAATAATAATAATAAGCAAACCGGAGCACAGAGAACTGGGAAGGTGGTCAGGCAACGTGGGATGTATTCAGCATGTCTTATATAGGGAAGTAAACTAGGAAGAGGGCTAGGGAGTGATAGAAGGGAAATGATACGTGATAACAGAAGCCAAAAACACATGTGAATAGAATCACAGGTCTAGCAGAAGCACTGCAGCAAGAAGGTAAGAATTTCCCAGGCAGGAAACTGCAAGCTAAACTGTAACATGAAGGACCCTCATGGCCAAACATCCTCCCCTTAGACTTTAGGGAAGGGCCAAAGATCCACAACCTCCATTCTGAGTGAAAAGTGAACACAAACATAAGTGCAAGTGAAGCACACGTGGAGAGCAATTAAATATGCAAAAAAATGCCAGTGCAGGTGCATTGACTAGTTCTTCTGGCCTAGTAACAAAAACTGCCCCAGTCTCAGCCAAAAGGCTTAGCCCATGAGGCATAGTGCATAAAAAAAGTGGTGTGCTTGTTGTCACAGTGGGGTCCCAAATCCATAGGGCATCACTTCCAGGGGACACTTGACTCTGCAGGCTCTCTGCCTTTCCAACCCCTGATCAGACAAGGTAACACTGTCTTACCGTCAGCCCTCGGGTTCCTCCACTAGAGAATTACTCCCGTGCAACACCCAGTGAGCGCTCTGGTTTATGTTCCTCACAGGAAGCTCCCACAAAGCCCCTATTGTACAAGCAGTAGCACTATACAAACAGCCATCCTATCAACATAGACAGGACGAACTGTGGAGAGCACCCTGCTGGACACAGTTAGGAACAGATACTACATTTGATCTTAGCCAAAAGGCCAAGAAGTGCTATAATAGCCAATCAAAGGTTATCAGAGAGATTAGGTGATCGGGAACCAGGCCCCCCTTTTCCCGACCGTTAGCTTGAGACCTGGGGCTCTCAGTGGGAGGCCAGTCTCTGTGCAGGGAGTGCAATCTGTTCTCAACACAAACACAGGTACGCATATATGAGGCCCCACGGATAAAGACCCACTTCCATGAGGCCGTATATACACTATATTGCCAAAAGTATTGGAACTCCTGCCTTTACACACATGAACTTTAATGCTATCCCAGTCTTAGCTCGTAGGGCTTAATATTGAGTTGGTCCACCCTTTGCAGCTATAACAGCTTCACTTCTTCTGGGAAGGCTGTCCATAAGGTTTAGGAGTGTATCTGTGGGAATGTTTAACCATTCTTTTAGAAGTGCATTTGTGAGGTCAGGCACTGATTTTGGACGAGGAGGCCTGGCTCGCAGCCTCCGCTCTAATTAATTCCAAAGATGTTCTATTGGGTTGAGGTCAGCACTCTGTGCAGGCCAGTCAAGTTCCTCCACCCCAAACTCACTCATCCATGTCTTTATGGACCTTGCTTTATGTACTGGTAAGCAATCATGTTGGAACAGGAAGGGGCCATCTCCAAACTGTTCCCACAAAAAAATTGTCCACAGTGTCTTGGTATGCTGACACCTTAAGAGTTCCTTTCACTGGAACGAAGGGGCCAAGCCCAACCCCTAAAAAATATCCCCACATCATAATCCTCACTCCACCAAACTTTACACTTGGCACAATGCAAGATCAAACACAGCAAAATTTTCCTTTTTTTTTTTTATATTAATATACAGTTGTGTTCAAAATAATAGCAGTGTGTTGAAAAAAGTGAATAAAGCTCAAAATCCTTCTAATAGCTTTTATTTCCATACACACAAATGCATTGGGAACACTACACATTCTATTCCAAATCAAAACATGAAGAAAAATATATCAAATTTGTGTTGTTCCTCTAAAAAAATTTAAGAAAATTGAATATTAGACTGTTCAAAAAAATAGCAGTGTTTGTATTCTTCTTTACAAACTCAAACATTCACTATATAAACTGAAAAATGTTTGAAGATTTTGCTTTCCTTTGAATCACTTAATTAATATTTAGTTGTATAAGCACTGTTTCTGAGAACTGCTGTACATCTGTGTTGCATGGAGTCAACCAACTTCTGACACCTGTGAATAGGTATTCCAGCCCAGGATGATTGGACTACAATCCACAGTTCTTCTCCATTTCTTGGTTTTGCCTCAGAAACTGCATTTTTGATGTCACCCCACAAGTTATCTATTGGATTAAGATCCGGGGATTGAGCTGGCCACTCCATAACGTCAATCTTGTTGGTCTGGAACCAAGATGTTGCACTTTTACTGGTGTGTTTGGGGTCGTTGTCTTGTTGGAACACCCATTTCAAGGGCATTTCCTCTTCAGCATAAGGCAGCATGACCTCTTTAAGTATTCTGATGTATTCAAACTGATCCATGATCCCTGGTATGCGATAAATAGGCCCAACACCGTAGTATGAGAAACATCCCCATATCATGAAGCTTGCGCAACCATGCTTCACTGTCTTCACAGTATACTGTGGCTTGAATTCAGTGTTTGGGGGTCGTCTGACAAACTGTCTCCGGCCACTAGACCCAAAAAGAACAATCTTACTTTCATCAGTCCACAAAATGTTGCGCCATTTCTCTTTAGGCCAGTCAATGTGCTCTTTGGCAAATTGTAACCAATTCAGCATGTCTTTTTTTCAACAGTGGGACTTTGCGGGGGCTTCTTGCAGATAGCTTGGCTTCACATAGGCGTCTTCTAATTGTAACAGTACTCACAGGTAACTTTAGACCTTCTTTGATCTTCCTGGAGCTGATTGTTGGCTGAGTCCTTGCCATTTTGGCTATTCTTCTATCCATTTGAATGGTAGTTTTTCGCTTTCTTTCACGTCTTTCAGGTTTTGGTTGCCATTTTAAAGCATTTGCGATCATTTTAGCTGAGCAGCCTATCATTTTCTGCACTTCTTTATATGTTTTCCCCTCTCCAATCAACTTTTTAATCAAGGTATGCTGTTCTTCTGAACAATGTCTGGAACGACCCATTTTCCTCAGAATTTCAGAGAGAAATGCACTGTAACCAGCATGTACAACATTTGCTGCCTTCCTTCCTTAAATAAGGGCAATAATTGCCACCTGTTTTTCAAAGAATGAATGACCTCACTAATAGAACTCCACACTGCTATTATTTTGAACATGCCCCTTTCAATTAGTGATTCAATTACACAGAATCAGCAGCATGCATGTCATGACTGTTGGATTTCTATTACTCTATTACACCTGCTAGTAAATTAGTTACCATGTAGAAATATAATTTCTACCAAAAACAGTGATTGATCAGGTTAGTGATGTCTGACTGCTATTATTTTGAACACAACTGTATATATATTTTTTTACACTTTCTTCCCAAGCAAGGACAAAGATATCTTTTCCTCCATTCAATAGGAGTAAGAAACACAGGGATGGCCTGTACAGTGACTGACAGTGACACTTTTTTCTTCTGTAGTGAGCACACTCGAAATTTAACATCAGGAGCAAATAAAAGTTAACACAGAAAAGTGAAGCACACAAAATAGTGCACAGGGTATACACATAGTCATCCTCTGAAGGGGACCCCAGCCCTGATCCTCCAGAAAGAAAGACTCCTGACAGGGACTGGGGTACTCATGATCCACCCAGCCGAAACCGGGCAGAACCTTTTCTTCAGGAGTCCTGTTGAAGCAAGACCTACCCTAGTATTCCAAGCACTAGGTGGGTATCCCACGGAAGGGAGACCGCATAGGAGGGGAATAGCCTGACCAAAAGGCCACATGCCCCCCCCCCAGCACTTTCAGGGCAAATCTGGAATTACACCCTGCTAGTTGGGATGAGTGGCTGCAGAAGAAGGACAGACCAAAGCTTTCCACACAGGCACAGCGTGTTGCAGGGGATCTCCTGGAAAACATCACATGCGGGTGGAGCAGTGGGAGAGGCTACGTGTTGCGCAGGACCTCCTTCTTTGTCAAGCTTTGTCCTTCAACTTCAGCTATTCCTGCATCTGACAACACTGCTATCCAGGAATACAAGGGTGGACACAGAGAAACGCTCATGCTGGGGAGTGTTGAGTACATGCCTTTTCTATTTTAATTTTGTGAGTGGCCATTTTGCATTTGATTTTAAGATTAAAGCTTTTAACTCTACTGCACTTAGTGTGCACTCTTCTTGTTTCTATGTCACTTGTATATTCCTCAAGTTTGTGAGGAGCAGAAACAAAGGCATCAAGAGGTGTTCAATTACTCTTGATGATTCTAATGCCTGGATTATGGATTTGTGGTTATATCCACCTGTGGACATGAATGGTTTCTGCTGATGGGCTTTATCTGATGGAATTGTCTTTGCTTACTTTCCAAAAACTCTGCTATTTACATTTTTATAGTATTAAGTATTTTGGGTGTGCTAAAAATGTTTTTGGTATTATTTTTATTGCTGGTCCATAGGTAGCTTTGAAATGCCTTCAAAATCACTAGTTAGAGGTCTGAACACAGTACACAACAACTCTAGACTCTTCCACATACCTTCTCTCCCATGAATTCATCCCTAGATCATTCAGAAGAAGCCTACAGAAATGAAATGGTGCCTGAGGCTCAGCTGTACTGGGTTCCTCTTGGCATGAGACCCTGATGCTGGGGTCACAGTTACACCTCTGAATGTGCTCAGCCTCACTGGAACTCTGTCTTGTGATTGCCTCAATGATCTCCTCTTCCTGTTCACGGCTCATTCCAACAGGAGGTAAAGCAGGTTCATTCAGCTTCAGCTCCGTATGTTGTAGGCACTCTGGACTTATGGTGCCAAGTCTTTCCAAAAGTAAATCAAGAGCATCCACTCCTTCTCCTTCCACTGGATCTGACCGTGACAAGCTCTGATATTCAGAGACCTGATGTGCTGTCTTCAGTTTTCTCTCTTTTAAAAAAATAGCAGGACATTCTAGTGGTCCATACATGATTCCACCATCCCAAGAGTATTTCCCTGAGATATCTCGGACAATTATCCGTACATCACCGGGTACTCCTGCTGAGTCTCTTCCAACAGAATTTTCTGCAGGGATTTGCAGATATGAAATAAGAGCACTATCGTTGAATACAAAAAGCTGCAAGTTGGGACTTCGGAACACATCATTTGACAACTCTGATGCCTCCACATAAGGGTTATCCTGATTCTCGTTAATCAAGCTGTGTAAAATGGCAGGGCCACCACTGAGTGGATAGTGTCCTAAGTGATTCACAAGCTGTGTCATGACCATACGAGCTGTCAGAGGGATGAGCTCCATATTTCTTCTCTTCTTTTCTGAAATAGAAACACAAAAATACAGCATAATTTAGTGTTTAAAAGGTACATTCCAGGTATAACAAAATTTGAGTATTACAAGGCATAAAGGGAACATGTATGCCTACTCAGGGATTCAGTATTTCATTCAGGCATTACTGTAGGCAAGAAATTCATGCTACCTGCTTTTAATCTGGAGAACTGGGGAACCCCTTTTAAGTACATGTTTAAAATGAAGTATAGTTATTCCTGAACACACCCAACGCATAAATGTTCACATTAATTTATTAGTTTATATCTACTAGTTGACAGTGGATACAGTCTATATCAGATATTAAAATAAACATAATAATACCAAATGATTAAATAAACTGTCACTGACGTATACAGAGTTTACCAACTAACATGATATTAAATTACTTTACTGAATAAGACAGACACCATTTAATAAGCATCACATATATTTATAAGATTAGCTGTAAAGCAAACTGCTGCTTTTAGCTCAGAAAACAACACTACAATATCACTTGCATGAACATTACTCTTTTGACAAAACTGTACCATTTTCATTAAATTTAATGACTTTTACAAGGTCATAGGCATTCTAAATGTTTAATGCAATTTCCTAGAACAACCTTAATACTTTTTTCCATGAATTTGGGGGAGCAAGCACTTTTTGTACTAAATTATTCTTTATTCATAGGAAATAGGGGAAGAAAATAGGGGAGAGAAATAGAACACAGAGAGAAAACAGTGAACGAGACCAAGAGTCACCATGCATGTTACAATTAGGGATGAGCAGTCAGTTTGGTCCAAGGTTTGGTACAGGTTCAGACAAATCTGTTTGTTCAGGTGTTCCTCTGAACGTCAGACTTTTAGTTCATTTGGAGGGAGCTGAACGCCATATATAGCAGCATTTTTTCTAAAGCTAATATATATGACAGCTTCCTCTGCCAATGGTTGATAAGGAAGCAGCGAGTGCCGTACCCACCATCTCCTTAGCAACCAGTGGCATCACCCAGCCCATTCATTTGCTGTTGGGAATTTTTGTCTATGTAAACAAAAGGAAAGGGATAGCGTTGACATCACTTACCAAATATTGCCACATATTTACATTTTGCAACATGGACTGTAACTGTAACTCGCCAGGCATTGGTAATTGTGATTGATGTGGACCCCTTATTCATATAGAAGATGCCTCCAGCCTGCAGACCCCACAACCACGGAGACAGGCTGTAGAAAAGAGGCCCTTGTCCTGATCAACATGAGGACAAGGAGCTTTTAGAGGGGGGTTCTCTTGGTCCACCATGTTGAGGGCCTGTGCACTGGTATGGTTCAGAAGGAAGGGGATAGGACAGCATAGGATCAATAACAGAGAATGCTAGCCGTTATGTAGCTTTTTTTCTGATGCCACATGTGTGTGACATCTGTCTTATGTTTGTGACACAATGGATCTGTTAAAACATATTAAGGGGGTAAGGCATGTCCCTCCTGGTGCCCTACTCATGTCTGTAGATATTGGGGCCCTATACTAAAATAATCACCCACAAGCAGGGCATTGGGATGGTGAGAACCCTCCTTATGGAGCAGGAACAACCTGTTTGGCCATTTATTGAGTTAATTTTACAATTATTGTATTTTATTTTATTCAAAGCCATTTTGTTTTTGCCAACCCCGAGTACCCCCAGGTGTGTGTACTATGGGCACATGTTGCGTACCCTCATATGCCAACCTGTACCTGGAGGGGTGGGAAAGGGCTGTTTTTTTCCCTAATGAGGGCTTTGCAATGTACCTCGGCCATGCATTGTGCTGGTTCAGGTACATCAATTACCTGTTCATTATTTGGACAGGGCCCTTACCTCAATTGGACCATTTTATGCTAGCTTTGGGTGGCAATCCATATAATCTTAAAATTCACAATAATTAATAGTGCCACCAAAATCTCCTTTCTTAATGTAGAAATCCTCATTCAAGAAGATGATTCCTTAACTACTTTGTAACGTAAACCCATGGCGGGCAATATCATATTGCAAGCTTGCAGCTCACAGCCATCTATGTTGGTTTAAAGTATTGCCACTGCTCAATACATTCATATACAATGAAATTGTAGACAAAGATTACGTTACCCAGGCAGTGTTACTAAGGCAGAAATAGCTAGCCTGGGGGTATAGCAAGTCAAATTTGAGAAAGGCATACAACAAACCCCTGCACTGCTCCAGAACCTTATTACTATTTGAGACTAAACCTAGGGAAGTGAATACCACTGTGAAATTTAATACCAAATATTCGACACAACTTCATGATGTTCAAGCCAATTTGACCCAACATTCGCATTTATTGGTAGATGATCATATTCTGTCCACATACAGTCAGGTCCATAAATATTGGGACATCGACACAATTCTAACATTCTAACAAGCCAATTGTCCCATTACTTTTGGTCCCTTAACAAGTGGGAGGCACATATGCAAACTGTTGTAATTCCTACACCGTTCACCTGATTTGGATGTAAATACCCTCAAATTAAAGCTGACAGTCTGCAGTTAAAGCACATCTTGTTTGTTTCATTTCAAATCCATTTTGGTGGTGTATAGAGCCAAACATGTTAGAATTGTGTCGATGTCCCAATATTTATGGACCTGACTGTATGTAAGAGACATACTGGAGTGTTTTGTCAAGCTATATCTTCAGGAGATATGGTTACTTCTATTCATTTTGTTAGCAATGAAGATTCGATTCGCACCCCCAGAGGAACATTTAGAGGGATATTTCCGTGCGGCAATTGCCCCCAATGTCTTTGGGTTCAGCCTGGTATGCAAACTATCTTTTCCAATGGAGAATTGTCCAGATCTAAGCATTATGCCAACTGTATTACACAAGGGGTGGTGTATTTGATGCTCTGTACCTGTAGAGCCTTTTGCCAATTAAGGCAAAGAATCAATATACATTATATTGCCAAAAGTATTGGGACGCTTGCCTTTACACGCACATGAACTTTAATGGCATCCCAGTCTTAGTCCGTAGGGTTCAATATTGAGTTGGCCCGTCCTTTGCAGCTATAACAGCTTCAACTCTTCTAAGAAGGCTGTCCACAAGGTTTAGGAGTGTGTCTATGGGAATGTTTGACCATTCTTCCAGAAGCGCATTTGTGGTATCAGGCACGGATGTCGGACAAGAAGGCCTGGCTTGCAGTCTCAGCTCTAATTCATTCCAAAGATGTTCTATCGGATTGAGGTCAGCACTCCAGTGCAGGCCAGTCAAGTTCCTCTACCCCAAGCTCCCTCATCCATGTCCTTATGGATCTTGCTTTGTGCACTGGTGCGCACTCATGCTGGAACAGGAAGAGGCCATCCCCAAACTCTTCCCACAAAGTTGGGAGCATGAAACTGTCCAAAATGTCATGGTATGACGACACCTTAAGAGTTCCCTTCACTGGAACTAAGGGGCAAGCCCAACCCCTGAAAAACAACCCCACACCATAATACCCCCTCCACCAAACTTTACACTTGGTACAATGTAGTCAGGCAAGTACTGTTCTCCTGGCAACAGACAAACCCAGACACGTCCATTGGATTGCCAGACAGAGAAGCGTGATTCGTCACTCCAGAGAACACGTCTCCACTGCTCTAGAGTCCAGTGGCGGAATGCTTTACACCACTACATCCGACACTTTGCATTGCACTTGGTGATGTAAGGCTTGGAAGCAGCTGCTCGGCCATGGAAACCCATTCCATGAAGCTCTCTATGCACTGTTGTTGTACTGAAGGCCACATGAAGTTTGGAGGCCTTTAGCTATTGACTCTGCAGACAGTTAGTAACTTCTGCGCACTGTGCGCTTCAGCATGTGCTGACCATTTTACGTGGCCAACCACTACGTGGCTGAGTTGATGTTGTTCCAAGTTGCTTCCACTTTGTTATAATACCACTAACAGTTGACCGTGAAATATTTGGTAGCAAGCGTTTTTCATGGATGGACTTATTGCACAAGTGACAGCTTATCACGGTACCACGCTTGAATTCACTGAGCTCCTGAGAGGGATCCATTATTTCACAAATGTTTTATAAAAGCAGTCTGCATGCCTAGGTCCTTGATTTTATACACCTGTGGCCATGAAAGTGATTGGAACACCTGTCCCAATATTGCTGGCAATATAGTGTATATATTTATATTTTATGCATATTTTTATACTGTTTATTTTATTAATGTGTCTGAGCCTGGGTCCGAACCTGGGACTTCTGCAGTGTGTGGCAATGTTTCTTCTTGCAGAGCCACCAGAAATGCTGGACAGCTCTCTTGACAATTATTGGAATATTCCTGCCATGACCTTGTTTGTCACGAACCTTGAACCCTTTACTCCTCCAATGAACTTCCTGATTTAAGCCATGCCTCTACGTTTCCTGTTTGCCAGATTACTGTGCTCTCTTCAGCCAGTATCTTGCTCCTTGTCTTCCCTGCTGCCATTCATATTTTGCTACCATTAGTTATTAAGCTTGGCTTGTTCCTTGACTATGCTTCTGCCTGATCCCAACCTGCGACTGCTCTTTACTGACCTTTGGCTTGTTTACTGACTATGCTTCTGTGTGATCCTTACCTGTTTAATACGCTACTGGACCTCCGCTTGCTCACCTCCTGGTGGGGTGATCTTGAGGACCACGACCTAGTGCTAACACGTAGCAAAATTCATCTCCACCATCAGGAGCTCTGGTGAACACCAGTTAGTAATTGGACTCTGCACCTCAGTCGAGCCCACTCCTCCACCAAGGTGCCCCGCCTGTGTACCTATCCTGCTGGTTCCTGTGTGAGCCATTCCACTGCTATAGCAACTGGTCTTCGAGCCTGACCCTTGATCACTACAGAATAATCTGGCCTAAACATGGAGACCACTATAGCAAACGTTCTAGCTCATCTTAAGCAGACAACTGCTGAGCTGCAGAAATTCGGGTTATCTATCAAAAAAAGTTGCCAAACTAGAAAGTATAGTGGAAAGGCAACAGGGAGAGATTCATACTCTGCAGAGACA